TTTATTGTTCGTATAAAATTGAGTTTTAACGTTCGTATAAGAAAGATGTGTTTTCTCATTGAATAGTGATAGGGAGTCTGAGTCCGACAGGTCCAATTCTAAGTATAAAACTGGGTCTGTTTGGTTATCAAGATTTAATAAAAATTTCAAATTTTATTCTGCTTATATCATAAACATATTTGTTAATTAATTATTTTTTTTTATATATATCATATCATAAAAAGTACTATAATGTTATGAACAATTGAATCTTTTGAACCACAAACAAAGTCACCTAATTTAGCAATCGCTATTGGCACTGATTCAATAATTACTTTTCTCATCCACAAAAAAGAAAATATAAAATGAAATGAATTTCATGCTGACGACAAAAGACTTTTTAACATAATTTCAATCTTTTTCCTTGAAATTAAACACGAAAACAATGCACTTGTTGAAGTAATTTTTCTCTATGTCCGTTCTCAATTGGAGGAGGTCGCGAGGAAAAGGAAGAAAAGGGTGCTCATTTGCTATTGAGGTTGATTCGGAGGTGTGGATTGCGATTAGAGTGGTGGAACTGTGAGTTCACAAATATTACACGAAGCATAGAATAAATACAAACCAAATCTTAAAATACTAGCGAGTATAACATATATAAAAAAAAATGATTTTTTTACTAACGGGTGTCGAATGAGCAATTTTGTACATATGACATGCATCTAGACCCGTTCGGATATACACTGTCAGTCAGTGTATGAAAATTTTACCAACGTGTACGTATGAGTGAAAGAAAACCACTTTAAGGACCTCCAACTATCGCATGAAAATTGGGAGAGATGGGACCTCTCCCATTTCAATTCTGTCCAGTTTGCGATGTAAACCGGAATAATTTTGATATAAACATGAATTATCATTGAATTAGTGTAAAACTCACGATTACATCAAAACTTCAAAATCTGGAACATGAAAATTGGAAATGCGCATTTTCAAATTTCACAAATTTGGCCAAATCTAAACCATGAAATTCACCCCAAAAGGTTGCACGTGCAAACGTCTAGTCCTTCCTACCCAAACAATGGCGCCTTCCAAACAAACGCATCATCTTCTTCTATCCTGATGGTATATACGTTGTTCTTGAATTTTGAACCCAAAAAAAAATTGAAACCCTAAACCAAAGGGCAATTTAAGGCAATTTGTATTATTTCTTGACTTGCCAGACTAGAATAAGCACTCAAAATATGACTTAAAGTAAGCTGCCTGTGCTTAAACGGGCGAAACCAATGAAATAGTAGATAAAATTAGCAACTAAATTTTTTTTTTTTTAAAGTGGATCTGCCTAAATCCATGTAAATTAGATAGTTCAATAACCATAACAACTTAATATCTATCCATTATTTGAGTGGTGATCTTCGAGGTACTCCTTTTCTCCCATGCCTTCTAATTGGACGAAGCTGGACTTCTAGGCCATTAATTACTTGGTTGCAGATCAACTTTGCCATTGATTCCTTGAACTGATTTAACCTAGAAATGAACATAAGTTATGTATAAGTAAATTTAACACAATTGAGGCCTAAGATAAAATCTCAAAAAAGAAAAGGGGAAAAAAAAATCTTACTTTGCAGGCGATTGAACAAAACCTATAAGCTGGATCCTTGATATATCCTTGACATATCTGACACTTCGGACAATTTTGCACTGACTTTTTAGGTTTTTCATGCAAAAAGAAAATCAATTTGAAGTTAATTATGAAGGGCCGAATGCCATCAACATCCATATCTTTTGTTATATCCTCTTTTGGTACAGCTACTCGATGAGACGCTTTGCAAACCTAATACATGATAAGTAAAAGTTTATTCCAAACCAGACCCAAAAAAAAATTAAATAAATACACATGCATGCATGTTGAAATAAAAAGTAAACGTACCCGCAGAATATCATGATTTCTGTGAGAATTTGTCCAACAACATTGATCACAAATTGGCCCATCCATACATGTTTTACAGAAAACTGTTTTCCACCGATGGGTTTGAACGCTACAAGTATCAACGTCTTCATAGAATCCTACTTGAAGCAAATGTTCTAACCATCGTGGTTGAGTTCCATATGGCAGCATTATAATGTCCCTTTTCAAAATTTTGGAAGGAAGAAGGAACGATCACAGAAAAGTTGTTATAATTCTCAGAATCTTGAGTTCCGTGGAGAAGTAGAAAAAAGGTTTATGTTGGTTTATAACTAGAATATATAGGTTTTATAGACTTGGAAGTTGAGAAAAAATTGGAAGTGTTACTAGTAGGTTTCAATTGTGAATTGTATCCGAAGTTTACTATAATTGGAAACTGACATATTAGGGCAAGAGATGAGCAATTTAATATAGAAATTTCTGAACTGTTTCCTTGTCCCTGCAATTTCATTGTACAAGAAAACACTTTCTCTACTTTCGGTGCTTCCTATTATGAGTTCAAGACTATTCATTCTTTTCGAGTAGTATATGATGACCAATTGCTTTTTTTATTGAGTTAAACCGGTCGGGCAAGCTACCACCAAGATTTTCAGAAGATTCTAAACTTGAGTTCGATGTTTAGTAAATTCAAACTTGAATTCGAGTTCAAAGTTTTAAATCGGATTTTTTTTCTCATAGGGGTATATTGAGACGAAATGTCCCTTCAAACTTTAATTGATATCAATGCATTAATTGCAAAATTCAAAATTGATCCTTTAAAAGGGTTGCAATTATGCAAAATAAGATTCAAAGAAATAAAAATTACTATTTGTGTGCATAGTTGTAAATGACCAAAGAAAAGAGAATACGACATAATGGGTACAAGGGACTAAAACTTGTTCAATTCCATTCTATTCATGTACAAGCCTACTACAAAACTGAGCACATTAAGAATCAAGACATTTTATTGCATTGAAAGATTATCATATAGGATAACTCTTTTAAATGAAATAATTGCCACTTAAAGTTAAAACCAAAATACCTTGTTTTCAGCCAACATTCACATTTAAGTACTTATAGACCGTCCAGTAATTAGCAATATGTGCAAATTAAAACGTTAGAGGACCTCTGAGCAGTTAAATAAAATATGTGTTTTTCACTCAAATTTTTTTTTAAATAAACAACAGTATTTCATTCCGATAAATATGTGTTCATTCACTCGAATTCAAACTTAAGTAATTGTATGTCTCTTCCTCCTTTCGGTTTGCCTTGCGGAACCACAATAGTTGTGTTTCAAAGTTTATTGGTATTTTGGAATTGGGCTGAATGTTTTGGATCGATTCTGTTTGTTTCAAGGATATTGGGCTGTGCATCTATTGAAGTTAGGCTGCAGCGGGTTTGTGAATATAGAATGAGGCAGAATGGGTTGAACACTTTGACCAGTGGACGTCTAGCGTTTGCTGTTGAATTTGTCTGATAGGTACGGGGCCGCGATTAAGAAGGATTTTAGCCGCTTTTTCTTTTTTGGTAGCTTTTATGATATATGTACTAACACAACAAAATTAGATATTAAAGCAATACCGTGTAAAAACACAACAAAATCATCACTCATTGAAAGTTATCTCTTCAAATCAATTTTATTTATCTAAATTCAAATTAAATACATCTGAACTATGAATTACATAGTGCAATTGGTCTAATATGTAAAACATTTTATTTATAAACTTTACATGTACTATATTAATTAATATATTTGTTGTATTTTTAAATGTTCTTTCAGTCATCCTCTAGTTCAACCACTCACCTACGATTGAACCAGTGATTCAAAGGCCGAGTGCCTTTGCTGGGTTTAATAACTTTAATAATTACTCAATTCGATTTTTAGGTGTTAGTTCTTGAAAAATGAATTTAAATCAAGAAACTATCTAAATACAAAGAGGACACTAAGAACAATAATAGGTGTTATCTTTGGAAAAATATATCTAAATTGTGACTAATTTTAAATACTAATGAAACAATAAATTTGACCTTTTTTATAATTTTTTTTGGGATAATTTCACAAACCTCCCCTGAGGTTTCTGACACTTGCACTGAGACCCCTCCAGGTTTTAAAAATTTCAACTAGCTCCCCTGGCAGAGTATTGGGGTCCATTGCTGATATGCAAAGCGCTGAAATGACCTATTTGTCATCAGAGGTTGGTTTAGATGACTGACGTTAACTAAATTGACAAATGCATCTTCACATTGGTAATTACATTTAACTAGAATAACAGAAATTTAATATCTAATGAAGGTGATTAAAAAATCATTACTCCTAGGCATCAATAGAAGAAGTAATTTGGCGCCAATTTCTGATGATGAGTGATGTGACAAGGCCGATTGAACAAATGTATCTTGCTTTGTAGCTACAAACCTCAAAAGACATGTCTTTTGGCTAAATGTTAAGAAATGGGACAATGAAGAAGGCAGTGGAATTCAAGTGAAGCTGTCTTCATCTGGTGGAAGTAAAGCTTCTTAAAAGCAGAAATTAAGGTACCAATTTCCATTTTCTTTATGCAGTACTGTAATGCAGTGTTGTAATGAATCAGTTTGTTAAAAAATTGCATGTTATGGAGTAGTTTTTTACTTGATTAGTAGATGTGTCAGCTAATGTTTCTTGAAATTTCATGCACGATGGATGCATGATGATGTTTTCTGGAAATTTCATTTGTTTCTGTTAAAAATGTGCATGAATGCATTAGCAAATATGAACTATAATGATATCAGAAATACTAGTACTTTCAGCAACTGATGCATATCAACTTACTAAGCCATTTTTTCTAGTGCGGGACTGTAATGATGACCCTGTTCTAATGAATCAGTTTGTTAAAAATTGCATGCTATGGAGTAGTTTTTTGCTTGATCAATAGATGTTTCATCTCTGGATTCTAGAAATTTCTGTAATGTTGATGTATGCTGATCTGTAGTGGACATGTATTCTGATATTTTTTTGGAAATTTCATGTGTTTCTGTAAAAATGTAAAGGCATGAAGCATGCACTTTTATTTAATCACCACTTTGCATTCAAATCTGAAAATGTAGGATGGGGACTCTTGCTGCTGCATATGACATTGTTGTTCACTATAATGCAAACAAAATAAGGATTCCAAACGTTGATCCAAGTGGCCATTAATACATTAACTTGTTGTTTGATGTAACTGAAAAGGCATTGAGCAAAATCCCTGGGAATGTTAACATGATTATGCAGATGAGATGTGAAATTCCTGAAAAAAATTGCACTATGGATGTTAATGATGACTATTTAGTTAGTGAGATGTTCAAAATACATCAATCTAAGCCAGTGATAAACTTGTAGTCTCTGATATGGAAATTATCCCTGCTGATGAAGAGAATAGCTTAGTAAATCCAACTACTGTGAACATGTAAGATACTCTGGTTATTAGTAAACAGAATAACAAGACCGTAGGTGTAGAGGTTGATATCTCAGATGATGAGTATGAAGACTCTAGCTTCGATTCTTCATGGAGATACAATATGCATAGTGACAATAAGGATGAAGTAGTTCTAGATAGGGCCTCAAATGATGACAGCGAGGTTAGTGATACTAAGTTTTCTGATTTTGAAGACAATGAAGCAGAAATTATGGTTCTTGATTCCGAAAGTGAGAAAGGGGATGACCCTATGAGATAACTAATCATATCAAAGATGTGGATTTACAATCCTAAAGATGACATAGAGTTTGACAAGGGTTAATCATTCACGAATGTGGATGCGTTTAGGGCTGTCTTGAAAGATTATGTTATTCAAAAAGGTTTTCCACTTCTGAGATGGAAAAACGAGAGATCTAGAGTGATTGCTATCTGTGGCATTGAGGGATGCCAGTGGAGAATACATGCACCACTAGTGGATGATAATATCACTTTTCGAATTAAAAGTTACCAATCACTGCACACTTGTGTGATGGATAAACATTGTGCTAAAGCCACATCTGACTGGATGGCCAAGAAGCTGGTTGGTGTCATGAGAGATCATCCTAACATGACCAGCAAAGGTGTAGAGGCAGAGTTGAGGAAGTATGGTCTGAAGCCAAGTAAAATGCAGATTTTCAGAGCTAAGAACAAAGCACTTGCTGAAATAGAAGGCACATATGCTGAATCTTATTCTAAACTTCCAAAATATGTTGAACTATTAAGAAACAATAATCCCAACAGCATTTGTAAAATACATTATGATAGGCCAAATCTTTTAGTTGAGCCTAAATTTTTGAGAATATTCATTAGCTTTAGAGCTCAAAAACTGGGATTCCTAGAAGGTTGTAGGCCTTTTGTGAGATTTGATGGATGTTTCTTAAAGGGTCCATTTGGAGGTGTGCTTCTCACAGCAGTTTCTTTGGATGCAAACAACAACATATTTCCAATAGCATTTGCTGTAACTGAATGTGAGAACAAGGATACTTGAAGGTGGTTCTTCTACTACTTTCAAGAGTTCTTTGGACCATTTGACAACAATATCCCTTTAACTTTCTTGAGTGATAGGCAGAAGGGATTGTATCTTGATTATAAGGAGATATTTCCTGATGCAACTGGACGGCATTGTTGTAGGCATATATGCAGCAATTTCAAGTCTCAATTTCTAGGTATATTACTTAGAAGTTTCTTTTGGAAGGCAGCAAAAAATTATGATGTTGTTGGCTATAATGAAGCAATGGCAAGTATTAAAGACAATAACATAGATGCTTGGAAATATCTGGATAAAATTTCAAGAAGTTCCTGGTGTCGGCATGTCTTCTCATCTTAACTTAAGTGTGATCATGTCACAAATAATTTCACTGAATCCTTTAATAATTGGGTTAGTGATCTTAGAGGAAAGCCTATACTGACATTAGTGGATGGTTTGAGGAGAAAGTTCATGAAAAAACTGCACAAGAGATATCAGAAAAATTGCACCTTGACTGCTAATATCACTCCTAGAATTGCTGAGAAACTCACAGAAATTAGCCAAGCATCAAGAAAATGTGAGATGCATATGGCTAGTGAAGACACATTCGAGATTGGTGATCTGGACAGAAGCTACATAGTTAATCTCAGCAAAAGAATCTGTGATTGTGGTGCTTTTTAGATATATGGAATTCCATGTAAATATGCAGCACTAGGAATTATGTACAGGAGAGAAAAATTGGAGTATTACTGTGAAGCTTAGTTCACAAAAAACATGTATTTGAAGGCATACTCTGCAATGATTAATCCTATTCCTGATGTGAAGAGGTGGCCTGCTATGCCTGATTTGCTCCCAAAAACTGTGTTGCCACCTCCTTTGCGAAGAACTCCTAGTAGACCAAGAGTAAATCGAAGAAGGGAAGCTGATGAGGGAGCTTCTTCTTCACAACCAAAAAGGTCAAGTACTCTCAAGTGTGGAAATTGTGGAGCTTTTGGTCATAATAAGAGGACCTGCAAAGGACAATCTGTGCAAAAAAAGGACTGCAAATAGAACCCCTGCTGAACTAGTAGTAGTATTGCATAATCATTACTGAACTGCATCATCTTACACTGGTTTTTGTTATGTGTTAACTATTACTTACAACTCATTTGAAGTTGTTATCACAAATGACAAATACAAAGAGTAGACCAGGCAGAGGAATGGTCAGCACAAGCTTATCAGGAACTGTTCTTTAGGTAAACTGCTGCCAGTATTATGTTTCATTCCTTGTCTATTAGAATTATGTATGCAGAGGTTTCCAGAGCCTCATAAGTACTCTCATTTTACAGGATCATGCAGAAGGAAATGTACCTATAATTCACTCCAGTCAAGGGAGCAATCCTAGTCCTACTAATCATAATGGAGATGTTAACGTGCAGAACAATTGTCAAGCTATTGCTATAGGTTCTAACAGAAAAGTGTTAACTTGTATAGTATAGCTTGTCTAAGAAAATAACAAGTTCTGCATGCAAATTTTTGCTCTGAACTTCACTTTCATGCTATTATGTTTACAAAGAGGAAGGCCTGCTTCAAACAATCCTTTTACTTCAACAGCAAGAGGTGCTGGTAGGACCAAAAGTACAAGAAGTGGTCACTCCAATCCTCAGGTGCCAGTTCAATTGACTTCTGAATCTGCAAATGCTACATCTATCAGCATGAATGCACTAGTAAATGTGAACTCCAATAGCATTAGCAATACCAGCACTTTCAACAGCTGGTTTTGAGTTGCCAGTTTAGACTAGTTAGCATGTAATGATTAGCTTAGCTTCTTTTGAATTCGGTGCTGCTATATCAAGAAGTACCAGAATTTAGGACACCTAAAATGTTTTGTTAATGGAAGCTAACACTTTCTTACAATATTAGTGGTGCAATCCTCACCATCTGCTGTAGAAATTGTCTTGTAGATGGTGTTTTGTACTTGTGGATTGCATTGATGGAAATGTTATATGTACTACTGATATGATTATTGCATTTTAGCATGTGTAATGTCGCTGTTGCTATTGTTCAGGAGCTATTGTCAATCAAATACTGGTGCTATTCATTACCTCATACAATGACTGTAAACTGCTGCATACATGGATTTTACACAGGTTCATGTAGCATTCTAACTGACATAGCCTTCTAGTTTCAATTGGCTTTCACCAGAAACGACATACTACAACTACTACAATGTTGCAGCAGATTTACATAAATTCAGCCAATTAATTTTGCTATTTGAATGAAAATAAATATAGCTAACAGTAGCATATTGGTGATGAGCAGCACGTTTCCTAAGACACTTGGTAATAGAAATTGTCTTTGCAGTTCCATGGCAACATCAGATTGCCTTTCTGAAATGTCAAGTACTCTAACTCTACTAGTATCCCTTTCCCTGTTTGTGTGTTGGTTGCTTCCTTTGCTCTTAACTTTTTCTTCTTCTCATCCATCATACCATTTGAAATATCTGTATTTTGAGCAGCAAAAATACAATTTGTCCGGATTCTTTTCGTTCTTTGATATCTTCACTGTGCCCTTGCGATTGCAGTAGCAATATCTATTTTTAATAGTGAAAGTTGTGAGTGAATTCCAGGATTCTGCTGGTTGGCTTGAAGAGGCCATTGAATCTGCTAAATGTTTTCACTATAGCCTTCTGTTAATGCTCCTCACAATCTTTTGGCTTGAGGATAAAATGTGCACATCTGATGTTTATATGCAGTTAGTGGATGGACCAAATTTTTTGCCGTTGGAAGATTGCAGGTTGCCATTGGCTATTCCTGTCAAATACTGAAGATGTCTCCATGTAACAGAAAAATATTCCTGAATTGCATTTATACCCCCTCAACTTTCATAATCATCTCGACCTTTTTAATAACAAGCAATCTTGGACTGAATTGTTACCAAAATTTGAAATGCAAGGGAGCTAGGTGAAATTTTTAAAATCTAGAGTGGTCTTAGTGCAAGTGCCAGAAACCTCAGGGGAGATTTGTGAAATTATCCCTTTTTTAGTAGAGGAGTGGGACCGAAGAAGTGGGGAAGGAATCGAAGAATTGGACAAACAAACAATAAAGGAAGCTGTACCTCATTTGGTAACTATACTATTACACTATTACTTCTAAAAAAACATTCTTCTGCTGCAATAAATCTATAATCGCATTTTCTAACCATACTATTACAACTACAACTTCATTTATTACTTGGAAAAAAAATCTGAAAATAGAAAAATAATATTATCACATCTTTTTTTTTTCTTTTTTTTTTTGGATATTATCATGTTTATTCTATTATCCCTTGCAATTCAGTTTATCACAAAAAAAAAAAAAGGCAAATCCACCATGTGACAAAGTTGAATTGAACTTCTTTTTGGCCAAGTTGGATTTGAAAGAGTAATTTCCAATGCATTTATCGACATGGTAATTACAATTACTATCCTTCATTGGGAGATTATCCATACATTGTTATCTATACACCTACATGTACACTACATATGGATGGCAGCTCTGATTACAGGACCTTCCAGGCTTTGCCTCCATCCATGTCGAACTTCTTGAGTCGTCTAAAAAACATAACCACAATAACAATTAATTTGCCCTCATCACTCCATTTTCCTGCAAATCCAAACCAAGATCTTGACAATTTGGATCAGGCTTCAGCTGTTTCTTACAACTATATCCTGTTGAGAAGCCCACATTTCCATAGGCACTGCCAAAAGGATTGAGCAACTTTTTCATTACCGACTCGTGACTCGTGAGACAAAATTTGTAGGTAAACTTTCTACAGATATAACCCACATTCATATCCATTTTAGTTTTCTAAGCAAGAAATTTTCTTGGAATAAACATTAATTAGCAAAAAAAAATTTTACTTTTTTAGAGTAGATGCACCAATTTTCTCTAGTTTCATCAAATTTGAAAAATATAAGGATTAATCTTTTATACACTGACAATATATATACCATTGATAGTTGTAGACATCCATGCTCGGAATTCTTGAAATCTCCTCGCGCATCTGGATGGAGGGATGTTATCAACGGTAAACATTTGGGTCTCCTGATTTTCCAAGACAATGGAAGCAGCACGGATATACTCATATCCATTTTGGTATTGTTTGCCTTTCTCGCTCATCTAAATTTAAATTTGAATTTCAAATTTTACTCATGTTGCATGTATCCAACCTTGATAATATATATACTATCAGTGTATATAAGATTTACTCAAAAAGAAAATAGCCAAAAGAGAATTTCTATCTTTAAAATTGGATTAAGGGTAGGAATCAATGTACTTTTTTAATTTAAATATATAAAATATTACAATCATTTCTTGATTAATCTCTATATCTACATATTTGAAGACAACTTTTCAAATTCCATCTCTCAAGGATCTCCCAACTTCCTATCCTTTTCTCTTAGACTTTTGATTTATTTTAATTAGATAAAGCAACATTTAATGTTTAGATTATATACTTACCACATTGAATTTATCAATTAGCAGTATTTCCTAAAGTCAATTACCTAAATAAAACCTAACGGACTACTTCAATTTAAAGCCTTATCGAACTTATAAATGACTATAATTCAAAAAATATATAAATCACCATAACCAAAAAGAAAATAACAATATTCCAAACTATTTAATTTGGCAACACTAAAATTAAAGGCAACGGAGCAGACTCCAAACCTTCTTTTTGATAATTTTGACTTAAATATGTAAATATGTTTTCCTCCTTAAAAATGCTTATTGACTCATTGAATTCCTTTATATTATAATTCAAATATCCGTAGAATCTAAAATTTGATACATACATTTTAAAGGTGAATAATGGTAGCCAATAACACTATTATAAACTAATTAAAGAAATTTGTTTTCTTCAATTGTTTTTTTTTTGTAGTTAGTGAACTTAGGACACTTCAGTAGATTTGTTTTTCCTATATTCTATATTTTTAGTGTTGAACTTTATACTCTAACATTAAATTTGTAGTATATAAATTATAGTTTTAACATTTCATTTGCACTTAAAATAAATTCTATATTGAATTCCTGCAAGCATCTAGATAATTTTTCATACAACACATGCATTTAAAAATTAATATATGAATTTAAATCAATATATTGTATTTAGGTGGTTGTCTCTGGGAGTATTTTAGGATGATTTTAAACCAAAATTTGATTCAAAACCTATCCTTTGATGGATGTTTGTTAAAAACTCCAAAAAAAGTAAATGAAATTTTACTTGAATAAACAGCAAAATAAAAAAATAATTGCATAGTGGAACAAAAAATGGTGATTATAGTAAGTTCAATTGTTGCCACTTTTACAAGAATCTAAAAATTATATAGATGTTAATACAAGAAATCAATTAACATCTGAAGAGTTTGTTAAACTTTTATGGAATAGAAGAAGGAAGTATGATAAAAAAAAATGAAAAAAATTAAAAATTAAAGAAAAAGGAAAGGAATGCTAAACATGTCTCTACAAATATTAGAATATAGTTACTAGACTAGAAATAATTTAAACTTACCTATTTAACACCCTCTAATGATTAAGTTTAATTTATATCTAATTTAATTAGGCCAATATGGATGATCGAAATCTACCCTCTTAATACCCTCTAATGAATGGGTTTCATTGGTTTACCCATTTAGACACAATTAAATATGGTATATACCCAGACTCAGCTATTGATGGGTGAGTCAAAATAAATATATTACCATTATTAACCATATAGATAAAGAGGGAAAGCCCCCTGTCACGTAGGATGGTCGTCCGCCCATGTGGTGCATGGGGATTGGTCGGTGGTGATGATATGGAGCTGATGTTGGACCAGTTTTTCTTCTCTTTTTTGGTTTTTTTTTTTTTGCCCTTTGATCAACCAAACGGCGTCGTATGTGAATGAATCTTCAACCACTTTTTTTCTTCACTTTCTTTCTCTCTCTTTCATTCAAGCGCAGGCAGTTGTTGATGTCAACAACTCTTAAAGGACCAGTTCCTATTGCTATTATCCGCTGGACAAAATTCCTTCTTCATGAGACTCCAGAGGTTTCCTTTGAATTTCTGCCAGTTGATTGTACTTAAAAGAGCTTATAATCTCAATTGGAGGGGCCAGATTTGTTTCTTTCTGATAGAATTGCTGGACGATGGGCTCGAGGTGGAAAAGGGGCTACTAATCTTTCTCCCCTCCCTGTATCGATTTCTCCCATTTCTCCCTCCTGTTCTTCTTCATCTCCCTCCCTTCCTCCCTCCTTCCCTCGAGTGATTATAGCTAATTTTTTTCTATTTTTTCTGCTATTTCCTTGGCTAAAAACAACCAATTTTTCCCTCACTCTTTCGTGTCTTTTTCTGAAACAGCAAGGAAGGAGAAGTTCAATATTTCATCTCCACTATCTATGCGAACTTGTAGAGTACAGATATGGTAATTTTTCTTCCCCTTTTTTTCCGTGATTAATGTATTTTTTTCATTTCAATTTTATTTCTACTATTTTATTTTTTATTTTTAGTTCCAAGAAAAACTTTTAATATGGTCTAAGATGGTGAATAATTGATGATTAGTTAGCTTTTAGATATTTATTTATTTTATTTTTTGTACCTACTTGATTTTTTATTGTTCCATTTTTCTTTTTTGGTTTTGCCTTTCTTGGATTTCTTCTGCAGCAGGAAGGAAAAATAACCACCCATGAAAGACAACTGCTGAGGGAAAATGTAAGTTTTGTTTTATTATTCTGATTTAATTTTTGCCTTTAAATTACTCTCTTCAGACCTCAAATGATGGTATGCTTTTCTTTTTAGCCATTTTCTTTGGCATTTGCTTTTTTTGAGTTTTCTTTTTAGTCATTTTTTTGGTGTCTTTCATGCAGGTGTTTTGTTGATCTCCTGCTCAAAAAAAGCAATCCATATGGTAACTAAAAAGATCAGTTGTTTAAAATAGATTTTTTCATCTTTAAAATGTCTTTCTATTTGCTTCAGTTCTTCCAGTTCCCTTTCTTCATTGGGTTTTCAGCACTTGATGAATTAATACATTTCTCTTGTAGGAATCAAGAACTTCCATTTCAAGTTAGTAATTGACCAAAATTTTGAGTTACACTAGCAGCACTAAGAATAATTTGATTGGAGTTCACACTGATGTTCCTGCGCCTGATATGGGAACAAATGCACAGGTCAGTGCAAAACTGGTTTTCGACAATATGATATGATTGGAGTACATATCTAGGTGACATTTTTGCTTTTGGAGAAAAAGATAGTGATAAACACAACATTGTCTATGAAGCTCATCCAATTAACTGGATTTGAAATGTCTGGCATTTGAGCAGACAATGGCTTGGATACTGGATGAGTACTCTAAATTCCATGGCTATTCACCTGCAATAGTAACTGGAAAACCTGTAGTAAATTATCCAATTCCAAATGTATAAGGATCAATGTGCTTCTTTGATTTCTGAGATTTTGAACCTCAAAAAATTTTCCACTTTTATTTATCGGAAGAAATTAAAATTCTTTGGTGACAGGATCTTGGTGGATCCCTCGGTAGAGATGCAGCAAGAGGGAGGGGAGTACTCTTTGCAACTAAAGTGTTGCTTAATGAATATGGAAAGAGTATCGCTAGGCAATGATTTGTTGTGCAGGTAACACCACTGGGAAGTGTGCCTTCGGTTTAAATATGTTTGAATACTGTGAGATGCATTTGTAGTTTCAAGTGTACCTTTAGTTTCTGATATGCTCAAATATTGTGGGATGCATTTTGTTGAAACTACAAGCTCATTCAAAGAGCCTTCCTTGAGGACTTAGAAGTTACATCACAAAATGTCTCATGACTCGTGAGAAGAGAAAGCAAGTTAAAAAGTAAAAAATTATCGAATGTCATATGATCATAGAATTTTCTTCTTGATTTCAGGGATTTGGTAATGTCGGATCCTGGGCTGCTCAACTTATCAGTGAACAAGGGGAAAAGGTAATTGGCGTAAGTAATATAACAAGAGCCATAAAGCACGGTAAGGGAATTAACGTACCAAACCTATGGAAGCATGTCAGGGAAAACCATGGAGTGGTGCTGACAGTGTTGATCCCAATTCTATTTTGCTTGAAGACTGTGATATTCTTATTCCAGCAGCCCTCAAAGGTGTTATCAATAGGTGGTTCTTCTAGCCTTAACATAGATTTTGTCCGACACTTGGTATCTTGCTTTTATGTGATTTTATTACTTACAATACAAATGGACATTTGAATTGATTGAAGGGATAATGCAGATAGTAAAGCCAAATTTATAATCGACGCAGCTAATCATCGTATTGATCCAGAAGCAGATGAGGTTAGTATGCGAGGTCAAAAGGCAGTGTCTCGGAGCAAAATAACTTGTGCAGTGAAGCAACTTAACTAACCGTGGCTTTAATTTACAAATATTAACAAAGAAGGGAGTTGTTATACTCCCAGACATATATGCAAATTCCGGAGGTGTTACAGTGACTTCAAGTGGGTTCAGGTATCCATTTAGCCCTTCATCTCATAATAATCCAGAAAACCTCTTTTCTTATTTCAGCACCTTGAGTACTTTTTGGTCCCTTTCTATATCTCAAATATTAAATTCTAAGCACCCACTTGAAATTGTGAGTAAGTTACTATTTTAATTAAACACCTTAAATTTTCTATTCCTTGACTAAAAAAGGAATTAAATTGCTGCATAACTGTAGTTTTGCCTCTTTAATGATAAACTGCAATGTTTAATAGCTTGGAAATTCTCATTGGAAAAATCAGATTTGGTTTACTTAAGTATGTATTTACAAAACATGATGTTCTCTTAGATTTGTAACATCTCAGTGAGGTTAAGCCTGGACTATTGAACCTTACAATTGCTTATTTTACTTTGTAAAATTGAACTTAATTGAGGTTAGCCTAAACAGAAAATTTTGTGAGAAGCATGAAGGTGGCATTCCAATTGATAGGTTCAAAGAGATGAATGTAATGCAGACCTTCAACTTGTGTTGAAGTCTTTATGCAGGAAAGAACTTAAAGGAATGGCATGTTACCTTTGAAGATGACATAGTAGAACTTGCTAATTTGTTACAGAAAAACCTTAGATCCATCTGTTGCCAGTCCTTTTTTCTTTTTCTTTTTGTGTCTCGGATAGCTTAAGTACAATCACATAAATCGAAATAAGATCTTTATTGGGATTCTTAAATTATTTCATACAATTAGTGGCCTTAAATTATAATCTGTAGAATTCTAAGTAACTAGCCTGGATTATGGTAATGGTTCAGTTTTCTTGCTCTTGAGAATGTTTTACACTTGAGCTGATGATGATCAAGACATGCAAGAACAAGAATTCAATGTTCGTGATTTCCTAAGTTACGACTTGTAGTTTCCTATATTTGATGATTACGACCATGCCTATTGATCTCTTTTAGAGATCTTGAGATTGTACTGAACTAGTGTTCTATCTGTCTGGTTGTCTGTATATATATTTATAAGGAGTTTGCACTCTCTTCAACGCGGTGAACTCTAATTCAAAGTCTATGGGACTTGTCAGATCAGAACATATTGGACTTGAAGCCTCCTCCTTCGAAGATTGCTCTTTTGGAGAAAAGATTCAGGACTACCATGATTCACTTGCAACTAAAGGATTAAGCAGTTTGCTTATACTCTTTTATCACCCATGGATATGCCCTAGAGGGTAGCCATTGCTGAGATGAACAGGTGTGGAACTGGAAAGGCTTCTACTTAGCTCTTTGTTTGGCGTGGATCCTCTGAGTTCTACTATTGGACCTAGAATAGTTATGCTATTGCACCCTTCGGTTCTTGATGCTTTGTCAGTTGTAAGTGACTAACCTAGAAAGGCTTGGAGTCTCTCTTTAATAATAAGAAAGTTTGAGACTTATATTTAATGGTGAATTTATCCTTGTTGATGTTAGTAGAGATTTACAAGTTTCTTGGTAAATGAGTATGGTTTGAGGGGCTATTGCAACTGTTGTCATGGTGACACTTGTATTGAGGTGGCTTATATGTCCATGTATTTGTCATTTACATGTTTTTGTATTGAGGTGGCTTGTGTGTCCATGCATTTGTCCTTTACATGTTTTCAATTGGATAGTTGCTGTGGCTTTGTTAAAAGAAACATCAATGGAAAACAAGAGAGAAAATAATAAATTAGCATAGAATGCTAGGTTTTAGTTCAATTTACTGACTTAACTTTACATTGAGGGTTATCTTTTCTGTCCTTTGGTTACTCAGTATGAGAACTACACATCCTTGTCATCTTGCTTTTGCTTCTTTTCTCTTTGCTTTCTCGTATGCATGTCTGCATAGAATTGGTTGAGGTATCTGTTTTCTAGAGATGCTTGGTCTTGGAGGATTAAATACTGCCCAAGTATTGTGCCTCATAGAAACTTTTGTACTTTAGGTCTGCTATTGAGAGAATTTATTTGGACATGGAAATGTGAAATGAGACCAGGAAACATGGTGATTAGAATGTTGTTAGATGGAGGATCTCGGAACCATTTATGGCTGAATGATGTGACAATTTTGGCAATTTTCTTCTATGGAACTCAATATGCTTATTAAGTGAGAAAACTTTTAGCTTGTTTTGGTGTTTCTTAGCATCATAGCCTGCTTACGGTATTCTCTTTTGGTTCTCAAAAGTCTGATTTAGCACTCAATTGGACATTTTAACTGTCCGTTTGGTTAGTCTCAATGATGATTTTACAATTGAATTCTAGAGGCTAGAATAATACATCAATCGATACTTATTCACTGTTCCTTTTCTTAATTCTTTGGTTTCACAATAGACAAGTATGGGTGAAAAGGTGTTAACAAACATCTTCTCATTGTTGTTGATCACTGACTATGGGATCAAGTAAAGAGCTTATTGCATGACGTGAATGTCCAAATATTGATGACTTGGATGTGAAGGATTAAACTGTAATTGTGATGGCTATCTTGAAGCTTCTTATGATAGTATGCATCAGTTCATTGTATCACTTGCTGGATTACTAGATGCACTTTCCTTTATTTCTTCCATGTTTTCACCAAGCGAACATCTAATGCAAATTGCCATGCTTGCTTTATTATAACTTTATATCCTCAAAACCAGGAACCTTTTGTTTCTTAATTAAAAAGTCGATTGTGTTGGACATACTTGTCCGAATCAATTTGTTATGAGACTGGATGATTATGACATTTTAATGCCAATCTGATTAGTAGATGATATTCAGTATGCATTATGGGCCAAGATAAGGGAAGTCATTTGCATCATCCTTCTGTTCTTTTACCCATGGAATTCTTATTTTTGTGTTCTACTTGCCAATGTATATTGTTGCTTCACAAATAAAGTCTGTTAAAGATGTAATCACAAAAAGTTCTCGTTACTCGGTAGTGTCCTACCTTGTGTTTTACAAGGCTTATATAATTTCTACTCCAATGTTCATCAAATTCTCTCTTTACCCTTTCTAAACTGATAATGTTTACAATTGGCTCAATATTAATCCGTCATTACTTTGTTATAATTATTGCCATGTTCTATCAAAAAATATATGTATCCATACCACGAATGTTTTTTTAATAGCTAATTATGCATACGACTTACAATAATTTGTAATATTTTTAACTATATTTCTTTATTAAGTTATTTAAGTTGTTACTACTAATTATGAATTATCTATTTTGTTTTCAAGAAAAAAATATACAGCTACAATGAGCTTTACGCTGGGCATATCACCTATATAATTTTACACCGCGCATATGCACGGTGAACCCGTCCTAGTATCTATATATGGGTAGAAAGAGTCGTACGATAGGGTCTACAAGAATGGTGTGGGATGGAACAATTGGGTCGAAAATGGGTAGAATGAAGGGAAGGTAGGGCATAGGCAAGGGGGAAAGGTTGCTTGGAAGCTTGGGTTAAGAAACTGAGGTGAGAGTTGCAAAGAGTTAGGTGACGCCCATGAGGGTACTGACTACTGAGGAGAGAAAAAAGGGGTTGCGGCCTTGCGAGGTGGGGAAAGTGGCTTGACGGGTTTGAATGCTAAGGGGGTGATAATATGTGTGTGTAATGTGCTTTTGATAATATTTTGGGTGTTTCATTGAATATTTTTGGTACTCTTTAGTATCATTAAGTCTTTAAAATAAGATATATTTAGTACAACATTTTAATATAAGTTATACTAAAGTAAAATTCTTTTGAATTTTTAGCCTTTTTTGCATATAACTATTTTAAATAATTTTTATCATTATTATAATTCAAATATAAACTCATGCATAACATGGTCAGAATGCTAGTAACAGTATATTTTTGGCGTTAAAAGAAAAAAATTCTATCATTCACTTGATTGTGGAGGTTGTCAATCAAGCTTAATTTAATACGAAGTAGTTGGCTTTTAAAGTCCAGTATATGCTCTATGAAAGATATAGAATCTATAGCGGGTACCTTATAACTTCCAAAGTGATGTTCAAGACATTGAAATTTAGTGGATCCTCTTTCAACCTTTTCCTTTCTGTGATGCAAATGAGAACGATAAAGATGGTTAAATAGGAAAGTTGTGAGAATATGACATTCTCAGCCAGCCATGCCCCTATTTTACTCCTCACTTTGCCTTCTTGTGAGCTCTTTTCTCCAAATTTTGTTGGTATATGGGAAAAGGCACCTATCAAAACATGGAAATTCTATAATTTTAATTCCGTATCTCTTATCCATCAGTAGAACTTACCTATATATATTTATTGGAGAACCAGAAAATATATATGTTTTTCTATGTGTATTTCTTTACCATTAAAACATATTTGTGTGTTTCTTCCTTAATGATTCATTTGTTTCTTGATTGAATATTTGGTTACTGTTATGTGAGATTAATTACGTGTATTTCTTCCCCAAAATACAACTGCAAGAACTAAACAGGTCGCTGTGTTTCAGTTCAAGTAGTAATATTTATAGGACAGATAATGCATTGATATAAACCTCATCAGGAACGATAATTGAAAATATTTTGAGTTATTCTCTGAGTACATCATTAGTTAATTTTTTATATAGTTGATCAGGATCATTTTATCTTGCATATATCATATCCCAAAGAAAGAGTTATAGTGTTATTGTTTAAAAGCACTTCAGATAACGCAATAAACATTGGTAAAAAATTAGTCACATTTAAGAATTGATGCAATTTCAGGTTAAAAAAAAAAAAAGCTATACAAATGTTTAGGTGAACCCGAATTTATAAGTCAATGCTTTTTAAATGGTTATACCTCTATCAAAGGTAAATATAAATAATATAATTACTTAAAATACTTGGTTTACAAAAACAAATCAACCAAAATATTTGTAGATGGGAAATATATAAGTATTCTTTTGTGACGTATGGAGGGACAAATCCAGCAGTATCAGAGGCGAGCATGTAACCTTTTGTTTGACCAAAAGCTGTGGGACTTACTTGCAGTTAAACTAAAGAAGGTCAAATTGGTGGTTATAAGCAATGTTTTTAAACTCGGACCGGTCAGTGAATCGGAGAGGTGGCGGTTCGCGGTCCGACCGGTCCAACCGGCCGGTTCAAAGGTTCACTGTTTTTGTTTTTTTTTTGTTTTTTAAGTGTTAAGTACTAAGCAAGTTTCATTCTACACTTGAACTTTACTAACATTACTTAATTTAAGTTATGATAATAATAAATTTTCTAAAAGTTATACACAAAACATGGAATGATAAATATAATTAAAATATCATAATTCACCACAAGTTTTCATAAATTCATTATAAACATAAATAGATACAATCCAAATGTTCACCAATTATCATAAATAAAAACAAAAATAATAAATAAATTAAATATTGAAATTCTTTTACAACCCTTAAAAAAATTCATAAAAGAGTTCAAGTTAAGACAAACTATTTGAATAGCAAACTTTTATTAGTGGCATGATAAGCAACCACACCATCTTCACAATTTCATCAACTTAAGCTAAAAAAGTTAAAATTTTATTATAAAAATATATATCTAATTGCTCAAACTAAAAAAAACTAAAAATTTTTGAAAAACAAATATACAGTTAAACACATAAAAAATTAATTGCTACTAAACATTACTAATTAACATGTTATATTAAATTCAATGATCCTATACCATTAATTATTTTAAATTCAATTATCAATAGTTTCGATTATGTGCCAACTACCATATTTTTGACCAGCCCAATGTTACTATTTGTAATTCCTACCCAATTCCTACACGGATGTGCACTACTTTTGCAAAAATTTCATCCTTAATTAATCGAATAAAAATAAAACAAAAATGAGGGAAACATATGAAAATTGAGGGGAAAAAGAAGAAAATGCAAAAAATCAACTAAAGATAATAATATAGAAAAAAAAACCTTGAAAAGAAAAAATATTAAACTTACTAAAATGTTGGAAAACAAGAAAAGTTGAAAATTTCAACTTGTTTACAATCTGCTAAAGATAATAACCTGATAATAATGGTGAAGACTTGAGAAAATCTTGTTGTGGATATTTGGGTTAAAAATGGTTAAGAAGAAAAAATTGAAAAAAAAATAAGAGAAGAACTTGATGTTTTAATATATTTTTTAGTCAAGTAGAATTCTCAACAAACTTAACTACAGTCTAGCGGTAAGATTGTCATATTTAAACTTGGAGACCCAGGTTCGAATCTTAGCTACACCATTCTTGATATTTTGTTGAAGAATTTAAAAAACCGCCGGTTCACGGTTCTTAACAGTTCGCACGGTTCGTCCGGGTTTCAACGGTTCTCCATGAACTTCCGGCTTTAGCATTAGACCGGACCGGTGACATGGCCGGTTCGCGGTCCAACCGGTCGAACCGGCCGGTCCGGTCCGGTTCTGAAAACATTGGTTATAAGGTCCCAGTTGGTGTGATTGTTTATTTCCAAAACCTCAATTTTGGAAACCTTCTAAGAAATAAATAAAAATCCATTTTGCAGATCCAAGTATATTGTTGGAGAATCTGTAGTTTACATATTGATAATCCCTCTTTGTTTGTTCTTTTGCTCTCGGCTCTGCCTTTCTTT